TAAGTTAAAGCGTGGGCATTTAGCCACAGTATTATAGGTGAGAGCCCTTCAAGCAGGTTGGTGCCTGGGAGCAACAAGGCTATGGTATAGGGTGATGGAACATGAGGCTGGAGGGGGAGCCGGGCCAGTACCTCATGACTAATAGGTTTGTGTTGTAGTCTTTGAAGAACATTTTTATTTCCCCTTCTTTTTCCCCTTTTTTAAATGCTCCTAAAATATTTCCCTGTCTTTGGAGATTTGCTAGAAGACTCACAGGGTTCAGCAGATAGTTATATTCATTGCAAAGATTCATGAGAGCAATGTAGGAAGGATCTACCACAGGACAATATGGGGAAAGATGCAGATAAGAGTTGGGGGAATCCATGTCCAGGCTTCCTTATGCGCTCTCCCTCCCATGAGAGGTCATACAGTGTGCACGCTTCCCCCAGAACAAAATGCAGCAATGAATGTGCATTGTTTGTGCCCATTGTTCATTAGCTTACATCCAACCGAAATATTCATTTGCATTACCTAGCTGACTACTGTAATATTTTAATACATTTATCTTGTTGCATCAAATAATTACCAGAAGAGAAATAATTTTGGAGTTTATTACTAAGTGAAGAGCACCAGAAACAGTAATATGGAAACCAAACTGAGTAATGCTTTAACTTCAAAAACTTTAAAAATAATGGGATATTTAAGGAAGGAAAATGAATTATTTTAATTCATTTGTTTTGATTTTGAATATTGTCATTCTGTGTTTTCCATAGGCATATACATTTTTCCATGTATTCATACTGAGAGAGGACATACAGTTTTCTATAATAAGTTCCCTTTCCATCTTGTGGTTAATTATCTGCACATAGCTTACTGTCTTCAGATCTTACGAAGCTGTGTGATGAAGTGAAACCTAAAAACTAGGTAAGGAGAATTGAAAATACCAAGTGAACATTCTTACTGCTGTTCTTTGTGATTCCTGTTGAACACAGAGGGCGCAGGCTCGGCTCTTCACAGGCTCGCAGGTAGGCATGCTTTCACCAGAGGTCTCACGTGTGGGAAAGTTAGTGCTTTATCGGATTCCCCTTAGAAAAAAGCTATGTTGAACAATTTCTCCTTTATAGGGCTTGTGATTTACTCTATTCTTGCACTTTTCCCACCAGATAAGATATGATTATGGAGAGCAGTCCTTCAAAGTAGTTTAGATTGATAGGAGATTTTTGAAATTTTAACTTTCTAATATGTCCTTATGTGTTCCTTATTTATTTTGTTTAATTGTATCCAGAAGTGGTTTGAATAGGCCAACTCTTAATCATCATTTTGTTTTAAAAACTGAAGCTATAATGGATACTTGTGAAGTTTAAAAAATGAGTAATATACTGTTAAATGTATAAGACACACATGATATATTTCAGATTGAGTGTTGGCAGCTACTAGGTGAATTATAACCACCTTAAGATTTTTTTGGATTTTTGCAGTGTTTAGTAAATATCTGTTGAATGAATGGGTGGAATCA